AACTTCATCCAGGAAATGATGAACTTTTCTTATGAGAAGAGATTAGGAAAACTGACCACACACTGCAGAGAGGAGTAGGGTAATGATGGACTATGATCCGGTGCACAGATGGATGCGAGAGTTTAACAATGGGGAGACAAATAAGGTACTGAAAAGATCAATCCAAGTCAGTACTCAAAACAATGAATTCAAGTTGGATCATTATTTCACACCCTAATCACGAAGTTGGGGGAGCAACTTTAAAGCCAAAAAAATAAATAAGCAAATACCTTTTCGGAAATAATGTTGTAGATTTATACAATAAGCGAACAAGAATTATCATAGAAATAAAGTCTCTAAATGTTTTAAGTATCTGTTAGACATATGTATATGTTTGATGTAAATAGGATCTGCCTGGCATGGGTCAATAGGTCTTTCAAAGATTCCGTTATGCTTACGTTACTTGCTATAAGTGACCCGCAAATAAAAAATTGCAGAGAACAGAGAACAGGACTCAAGTTGATCCATACACTTGCCCCTTTTTGAGAAGCAACCCGTTCTCGCACTTGCTTATAGTCAATATGGGCTTATTAATAGGTGCATATGTGACATACTAATTTTTTGTGAATATTTGAGTTTACCTTGAAACGCTGAATAGAAAACACCGACCTAACCTAACCTTCTTAGTATGTTAAGATAAGCTTCTTATTGCTTCTTAATTACAATTAGTACCTCTGAGGTGGTACACCTGACAGCTCAGGAGCGAAAACATGGCGCAAGAGTTTGTAACTTAAGCTTTGACACACTGATACCAAGACTTAGTCGAGTATTGACCACAGCTGTTAGTCTTAGAAGTATCTAATATGAACTTCTCTATTTTGCTTATATAAATGTAAATGTTCAAATTGCCACGACATTTGTGTGAGTGATGACTTGATGGTGAATATTCAAAATGTGTGTACATAATTGTAATGTATCTCAGTAGTGTATATCCGTATTACTAGTGGTGGAGCCCTTGTGTGTTATTCTTCAGCTACATCTACATTGTAGTGTTTGTGGGGAAGTGAAGCCTGTGGTGGCTGCATCTTCGTCGTAGTGCGTGGTTGTATTGGCGAAGGAAGGTCTGTGGTCGCCAGGAGACTGTAAAAATAATTTACACTGAAATCGGTGGCCAGGCCAGTTCGCTGCGGGCTCCACCGTCAACAGAAACACTACCAAACCCCCACCACACACTGTATTGGACGTGTTCTATACCCGTGTAACTTCACCAGACCCTGTCACCCCTACACAGTTGTCTGAAATTGGTTCTCTATGCTTTCATGGTTTCATGAGATCTTGCTAAGCCTGTAATTATTATCAGTTAAACAAAATTTAATTAGAGTTATCTTTCTCCATTCCTTCATGTGTTTCACCTGTTGAGATATGTGTATGTATGTTATTTATAAATATTGCTCCATGTATAACATAGTAGATGCCGTGTTGTCATGGTGTGTTGGTATGTATATGGTTTGTTCGAGGTGTCGTTAATGTGTTGAAGGTGCCATTGCTGTGTTGGGGGAGCCGTGGTGGAGATGAAGACCCCCGTGGCTGTTGGTTCCCCAGGGAAGGTGGGGGCCAAGGTATTCCTGGCAGACGGCCCAGGCTGACTCCACCAAGACCCTCCCGACTTGCCTTGGCTACCAGATGGAGAGGTTTTTCGAACTATATCAACACTCCCTAACCCCCACTCCACCACCCTAATCAAGAAGGTTACTGTGAGTCGCTATCGGCTTGTGACTGTGTGGGTATTGTGGCCTTCGTGTTTTCACAGATAGGCCCACACTCCTGCTGATGATGGCAGATATCCAAGGATATCTCGTAGAAACATCAGATCTGAGATGCTGTAAAAAAAGACGATTTGCTGTTCTATAAGTGATTCTTAGTTTTGGCATCAACATTAAACAACATAGTCACTCCATAGATACCAAGAACTCATGCAAGCTAAGGTCACCACAGCCTTTCCAATCATGGCATAAACGTAAATGTTTACTACAGAGCCCTCCTATGCTAACACAGCTGCTAGTGTTATATATATATATATATATATATATATATATATATATATATATATATATATATATATATATATATATATACATATATATATATATACATATATATATATATACATATATATATATATACATATATATATATTTATATATATATATATATAGTAAAATTACTGGATGATTAGGACACAACCACCAAGGGCTGACAACCACGAAAGGCTGACATAGCCACCAATGCTTGGCATAGCCACCAAGGGTTGATATAGCTACAAAGGGTTGACATAGCCACCAATGCCTGACATAGCCACCAAGGTTCATCTCAGGGCGAAACAGAGCTAGAAAGAATCACTATAATACCAGACCCATGAGAGGCTAACAAGTCACGAGTCGTCCACTAAACAAGATCACCAGGCGACCGAGGATGAAAAGGACCTAGAGGAAAATGCCTGACTCCCGTGGTCATCATGTGGAATGCTCAACTTATTCGAACCAAGGTATTTTTGTCAGCGAATAGCCAACTGTGGGATTCTCCTCCTTTCCCCACACTTGACAGTTTTTGCCCTCTTGCCGGGCACAGTCTTCCTGGCCCAGCGGCTGAGGTTCCGTTCTGGCGGCTAGGCACAGTATACGGACACTGAACACTGCCAAGTAGAGACGATCAAGGGCTTTGTTGAAGCATCAAGTTAAATGTTGGAAAATGTAGCTATTAGACACATGTCGCTGGCATATTGAGTATGCCAGCGATGTCCTAAGTAATTAAAAGTAATTTAGTCGAAGTAATTAAGGAAGAAGTAGAAGTTAAGTGAACCAGGCGCGACTAAACTTGTTTTACCTTCATGGCGTCGGGCGTCTGGTGGAGGGAAGGGGAGGAGGGATAGGGGTGACGGGGTGAGGGAGGGTGAGTGGCCTGGAGTGGGCTCTGGCAGTGCAGGAGGGATAGGTAGGTGTGGAGTGAAACGGAAAGGGGGTGAGGTGTATGGCGAGGCTGTAATAAGAGAGAGGGTGGTCTGAGGAAAGTTCTTACGGGCTCACCATAGCCCATGCTACATAGACATTTCGTTCTGAGTAGCTAAATCTAAAACAACAACAACGAGGAAAGTTGCATCAATATTTAATGTCTTAACAACTTATAAAGTTTCCCTGATGGTAACTGAACGTTAATTCGAAATGCAGCTTCTATACTGTTTATTCTACATACGAAATGCAGAAACAACAAATAAATGAAACCCACTCACTGCTTGGCATAATTATTGGTTGATGCCATTTATTAATGGCATCAACCACAAAAGTTTGGCATCAACCAAAACTCCTCTCAGAGGAGGTCCTCCTCTGCTACTGTTTCTTACACTCGTAACATTGTTCCAAGATCGAATGTATGGTTTAGTTATTAATTTTCAGATCCTCGCCGATAACGGGTCGTGATGATAGACAATAAATATATAGAATAGAGCTATACGGATTGCGATATGGTTAGACTGAGATTGCCACCATAAAGCCTAGTGTTTGAGGGATCAAGCACTAGGCTTTGTGGATCACCCTTCATGTGCTTGATCCACCTAACACATCCCTCCTGGTTTATACTCTTTCTCAGAGGATTCATAATGTGATGGATTTCTTGAAATTTGAAAATTGTAAAGAGCTGTATACTAGTCTTATAATATTATATAGTATAGCCTAAGGAGGAAGGACTGAAGTTTGGATAAAAATGATTGTATTTTAACATAGATACCTAGGCATTAATTTATACGGGTAATTATAGTAATGATTACGGTAGTCATATCATTTGATAACATTATTCCCATATCGCTGGATGGTTTGTCATACTGGTATGCATTCTGTTGGCTAGCATTGGTAAACTTTGTATGCTTTATGTTGATATACTATAGAACACGATTGTAGACTTAAGTTTTTTCAAAGTGCCAGGTACCTCATTCGGGCAGGAGACTGAGACAAAGTTAGCCTGAGAGCAACAGTGAGAGAGGCCAGAGCCTCTTGGTTCATCCTTCACCGGAGTGTGTAGATAACCCGATACTGTGCCTCCTGCGCTGCTACTGAAGGATATGGCTGCGTTGCTTGTTGCTGAGGCACTTGCTGCTCTCTGAGCCAATTAGCCTCTTGATTTTGATTTGTTACAGATCAGTTTTGTACCTGTTGAAGTGATCGCTGGGAGGTACTTTGTTTTGCTGTGGTTGTTAAGTGATCGCTGGGAGGTGCTTTGTTTTGCTGTGCTTGTTAAGTGATCGCTGGGAGGTGCTTTGTTTTGCTGTGGTTGTTTGATTCTGGTGTGTGGCTGTTTATGTTAATTTAGCTGTTGATGTGATCGGGAAGAACATTTGGCTGTTCATGTTAATTTAGCTATTGATGTGCCCCGGGAAGAACACTTGCTAATTTTTGACGACATTTTCTATACTCTGTAGATAACTTTGTGAATGTTTTCTTTTATTATAACGGTTAACTTAAGGCACTTTTGATCTTCTTGAAGTGTCTGTTAGTGTCTTGCGAACCGAGCTATAATTTACAACAATGTGTGTATAGTTGATTATGTCGTGTTTGTTCATTAAAATACAATCTTAAAAAACTTGCTGCTAACATTGCTGCACATTACATAGAGTGTGTAATATAATAATAATAAGAGCGTTTAATAAATATCTTGAGTGTTTAAAATTAAATCACAATAAGATGCAAAATATATTATTTGTAGGCGCTAGAGGAAAATACTCTTTACGAATCATATTTCAAACCCAATGTGTCGTGAGTAATTAATTTCTGATGAGTAATAACTTACTCTCCATTAGATGAGGGTAATTGTCTTTAATTAATATAATTTTCATAACTCTCAGCTTAATTCACAATATATTGTGTAATATTCTGATCTCAGAAATTTGAGCCGAGTGATAAGTAACTTTAAAAGAAATATTAAATGGTTGCAAGTATTATTTATAATAATATTGTGTTTCTTTTGTTTTGCAGTTCAGCAGGGTGTCCAGCGGGTTCAGGGCCCCACACAGATAATGTCGTGAGTATCCGTGTTCTTATTCGGGCCCCCTCATGTTTATTGTTCCCTTCCTGGCTCTTGTCCGCCCCCCCCCTCATGTTTATTGTACCCTTCCTGGCTCTTGTCCGCCCCCCTCATGTTTATTGTTCCCTTCCTGGCTCATGTCCGCCCCCCTCATGTTTATTGTTCCCTTCCTGGCTCTTGTCCGCCCCCCCCCCTCATGTTTATTGTACCCTTCCTGGCTCTTGTCCGCCCCCCCTCATGTTTATTGTTCCCTTCCTGGCTCTTGTCCGCCCCCCCCCTCATGTTTATTGTACCCTTCCTGGCTCTTGTCCGCCCCCCCCTCATGTTTATTGTTCCCTTCCTGGCTCTTGTCCGCCCCCCCCCTCATGTTTATTGTACCCTTCCTGGCTCTTGTCAGCTCCTGGGACAAGATTTACGCCAGCATTCTTGCGCGCGCTTTCGGCCCAGCTTAGGTAATATATACATTATTCGCTGCCCTCTGGCCTCTCGCCGTCCCAAGCTTTATGTATACCTACTAGCTATTTTTGCAATAATTTTACAGTGTGTATAACTAGCTTATTTTCATGAACATTCATCTTTATAAGGTAATAATGAATACACATATTATCTGCCGTATGTTTGAGCCTTCTTGCGTCGCGTGGGAAATGGTACTACTATTTAGTTGCGTCATGTGAGCTGCCACAGCAAATCATTCTCGTGGTTTAGTTTTTGTCCGTGAAGCATCATGATATTTTGTGGCGTCGCGTCCACGTTTATTTTTTCTTTATTAAATAATGTACAATATAAAGATTACATTTACATCAATTTACCAGGGTAAATGCTACATTTATATATATTTTGTATAATTCTCAGTAAACTAATTTTCCATATCATCAGCGAGCATGAACCGTAAATCCCGAATGTTATACTTGATCCTGCCTCGCAAGAACCTCAATATTCTGTCTTCTGAGTAACTATCCTATCCGCATAGCCTGCCTATCCACACACAGTAACCCTCCTGCCTGCCTATCCACACACAGTAACCCTCATGCCTGCCTATCCACACACAGTAACCCTCCAGGCTTCCTGTTTATTCACAGTAACCCTCCAGCCTGCCTATCCACACACAGTAACCCTCCTGCCTGCCTAGCCACACACAGTAACCCTCATGCCTGCCTATCCACACACAGTAACCCTCCAGTCTTCCTGTTTATTCACAGTAACCCTCCAGCCTGCCTATCCACACACAGTAACCCTCCTGCCTGCCTATCCACACACAGTAACCCTCCTGCCTGCCTAGCCACACACAGTAACCCTCATGCCTGCCTATCCACACACAGTAACCCTCCAGTCTTCCTGTTTATTCACAGTAACCCTCCAGCCTGCCTATCCACACACAGTAACCCTCCTGCCTGCCTATCCACACACAGTAACCCTCCTGCCTGCCTAGCCACACACAGTAACCCTCATGCCTGCCTATTCACACACAGTAACCCTCCAGTCTTCCTGTTTATTCACAGTAACCCTCCAGCCTGCCTATCCACACACAGTAACCCTCCTGCCTGCCTAGCCACACACAGTAACCCTCATGCCTGCCTAGCCACACACAGTAACCCTCATGCCTGCCTATCCACACACAGTAACCCTCCAGTCTTCCTGTTTATTCACAGTAACCCTCCAGCCTGCCTATCCACACACAAAAAAAGGTAACCAGAAAGTAGCATAATTATTGTACACTCAAAAAATAACTATTGTCCCAGTGAGAGAATTGTTTGATGCTGAACTTAATTAATAGTGACCCCTCCCCCATCTTGGTAAACTTGATGGTGTCACCGTTACTAAGCTTATTGTTATCACGGTTTCTAAGCTAAATAGTGTCACGGTTAAGCTTAAAAATATAAATGTTGCTTAGCTTAATAGTGTCAATGTTGTTAAGCTTAATAACATAACCATTGCTAAGCGTAATAGGAGTCACTGTCGCTAAGCTTAATAACATAACCATTGCTAAGCGTAACAGGAGTCACTGTTGCTAAGCTTAACAGCGTCACTGTTGCTAAGCTTAACAGCGTCACTGTTGCTCAGCTTAACAGCGTCACTGTTGCTCAGCTTTACAGCGTCACTGTTGCTCAGCTTTACAGCGTCACTGTTGCTCAGCTTAACAGCGTCACTGTTGCTAAGCTTAACAGCGTCACTGTTGCTCAGCTTAACAGCGTCACTGTTGCTCAGCTTTACAGCGTCACTGTTGCTCAGCTTAACAGCGTCACTGTTGCTAAGCTTAACAGCGTCACTGTTGCTCAGCTTAACAGCGTCACTGTTGCTCAGCTTTACAGCGTCACTGTTGCTCAGCTTAACAGCGTCACTGTTGCTCAGCTTTACAGCGTCACTGTTGCTCAGCTTAACAGCGTCACTGTTGCTCAGCTTAACAGCGTCACTGTTGCTAAGCTTAACAGCGTCACTGTTGCTAAGCTTAACAGCGTCACTGTTGCTAAGCTTAACAGCGTCACTGTTGCTCAGCTTAACAGCGTCACTGTTGCTCAGCTTAACAGCGCCACTGTTGCTCAGCTTAACAGCGTCACTGTTGCTCAGCTTAACAGCGTCACTGTTGCTCAGCTTAACAGCGTCACTGTTGCTCAGCTTAACAGCGTCACTGTTGCTAAGCTTAACAGCGTCACTGTTGCTAAGCTTAACAGCGTCACTGTTGCTAAGCTTAACAGCGTCACTGTTGCTAAGCTTAAAAGCGTCACTGTTGCTAAGCTTAACAGCGTCACTGTTGCTAAGCTTAACAGCGTCACTGTTGCTAAGCTTAAAAGCGTCACTGTTGCTGAGCTTAACAGCGTCACTGTTGCTAAGCTTAACAGGGTCACTGTTGCTAAGCTTAACAGCGTCACTGTTGCTAAGCTTAACAGCGTCACTGTTGCTGAGCTTAACAGCGTCACTGTTGCTAAGCGTAAGTACCTTACAAATTTCTGCGATAATATTCAATTAGATGGACATTCAGTGTCAATAAAGTCAGCTTTCTTATCTTCACTTTTGTACTTGAGATTATGACGCTCGAAATGGAATAATGCTTCGTGCAAGGTTGCAAAGTTAGCGTGCACTTTATTAGCTTAAAACTGATAATAATTATATCGCAGCCGATAATTAATAACTAATGAAACTGTAGGATTAGTGATTACATCGCGGTGTCTATTTTCATGTTTTTGTGTTGGATTCATTATATTTCCTCTGGTGGTGACAAAGAAAATTTTTGTCCTTAGAATTTCTAGCTCGTATCAGTATTTAACACTTGTTAAAGTGTTAAAGACTGATACTAGCTAGAAATTCTAGCTAGAAACATTGATACTAGCTAGAAATTACTTTCTAATAGCTAGAAATTAACAGAGTTTAACACTGTCCTCCTTTCTAGACAAGAGGACACACTGAACCGTAGTTAATATATAGCTATATATAGCGCTAAGAATTCCTACACTTGAGGTGGCTAGTCGTGAGCTATAATATCATGGCTGCCACCCAGGCACTAGTTGAACCCAATGGATCAAGTCATCATGGCGACGCCCTACTTGCAAAGCCTCGTCCACAGCTGTGGCTTTCTGCGCCTCGCCCGCGCTACAGTAATAGACCTGGCCTTTTGTGGTCGATGAGGGAACAGGTGGTGGTGGTGGATCGTGCTCACGGCTCTGCTTAGTAATAATATTTTGACTTATTTACGTCAAGGGCGGCTGACGTTTAGAACCAAGCGTCAAGGCAATCCTGGCTGATGGCCCAGTTAATTAACTCCACTTTTCGTGTTGGTTGTCGCGTATTGGTAAATATAATTTATGTATATTGAAAAAAAAGACATCGCAGATACACAGGCGTGTAAGTTTATAAATGCATTGTTTCCTTGATTGTTAGAAATATGTATCTTTCGCCTTGAAGCCTAATGGAAAGCCCTCAGCCTGACTCCATGGAAAGCTTAGCAAATCGAAGCTTGTTTTGGGATTGTAATTTCATGTTTTCTATCGTCAGCATGCAGACAATTGTTTCTAATCTTTAATGATATGTCGATATGTTTGCTTGTTATTTGAATTGTAAACATTTAAATTTTACATTTACATGTAAAATAGAGTTTAATTCCAAAATAACATTTCTTTATTACTAATATTGGTGGTCAGCTTACTACTTACGTTTATCGTAAACCTATATATACGGGATTAGGTTTTCATCATTTAAATTTTTGTTCTAAACTATTTAAATTAAATATAATTAAACCGTTGTTATTTCAATCTTTGCTTTGATTAAAAATGATTTTATTTTTAAATTAAATTCTTGAGCAATCTCTTTGAAATAAATGTTTTTCCAATCAAGGAATTTTATGCGATTTTTAGAACATTTTTTTTAAATGGTAAATTCTTGCCTATCGTTAAGATTCCTAGAGTTCCTGAAGATAGTCATTATATATATATATATATATATATATATATATATATATATATATATATATATATATATATATATATATATATATGACAGTGTCAGACCACGGAGGAAGAATTGAAACCAGGAATTTCCTTAAGTACTTTCGTATTTAATAATACATCTCCAGAAGGGTATATATATATATATATATATATATATATATATATATATATATATATATATATATATATATATATATATATATATATATATATATAATTTCCGTATTTTGGTACTGTTAACAAATTGCGGCTTCTGCTGTTAGCAATCACTGGGGGGGGGGGGGGGTCTATGAGCCATCCTCTCACTGAACTGACTTCCAATTATCGACTAAATTTCAACATTTTGGCATCTATTTACATTCCAACTGAGGTTAAAATTGAACAGCTTCTTGAATCAACTGTTCTCCCATTAATTTTCGTCTTTATGATGTATGTTGTTCGGTCTTTTATACGATTTATTTGCTTTTTTTTTTTTTTTTTTTTTGCTTTATACTCTTATATATATTGTTTAAGTTTTTATTGTCTTCATTTATACTAAATTTTAAAATGTATACGTAT